CACTGAATCATTCATTCAATTGATTTGTTTGAACAGCTGATTCATTCAGGAATGAAACAAGTCTTTATGAATGGGTAATCATGAATCACTGACTCACTAGATTCGTTCAAAAACGCACTTTCATTGAATGAATGAAACTCAGCTGTGTTTGCTTTTAGAGATGCGCAGCGGCTGAGCTGTTACTATATTTTGAACTATTTTCGTTAAAGAAATGGAGCAAAATCAGGCTGTACTTGTTTACTGAACTGTTGTATTGAATCAATATCACATTGGCAAACTCCCTTAATAATTATTAAAATCTATCACTCTCCAAATCTGTGGGCACACAGAAAATGAGAGCGCACAAGTGAGTTCTCAAGATTCAAAAGCACGTGCAAATGATACGTTCCGTCATCTGTCATCGCGTTACAAGCGCGGAACCTGCGGGAATGAGTAGAATTGTTATTAATAGTCACAATCTCGCGCCGAAATTCAAGTCCTGCTCTGTGTTCTCTGCTAATAACCCGACTGTGAATGATGCGAGCGGCGTCACATATGTTGTCACTGAGAAGCTGGAGCCGTGGCCTGGAATGATTTTTGGTGTGCCGGCAGAACAACAACAACAATGCGCTACATGCTTCTTTTCCCCTAATTTTGTTTTTTTTTTCCAATTGATGGAAATCCGTCGTAGCGACGGAAAACTTGAATCCCTGCATAAACAAAATTTATTTCAAATTTAATTCAAGCACTGTCAAGGACCTATGTTTGTTTTCAAGTACTTTCCAGGCCTTGAATCCATACGTCTGAAACTCAAGTACTTTCAAGAAGCGTGGTAACCCTGTATATACTTTGCTTAAATTAATCAAAACAAAACTACAGTTTATATAAGAAAAATACAACACCCTGGTAATGACAGTATTTTCAAAAAATTATGTAAAACAAATAAAAGACCAAAAATATCAAATATTTTTTTAATATTTTAAATACAAGCACATACAGAGCGGTACAAAAATCTGAGACCACAAATCAAGCTTTTATGCATAGTTATTCATTTTTCCCTTATTACAAATTAAATTAAGTAAAAAGTAATCTCATAAAGTTTTAGTATTTGAAATCCTTGGCTTGCTTTAATGATAGCACGCCAAGATGATTTGAGAAATCAAGTTGTGACTAAAGAGTAAGTCATACATCATGTAAAATATCAGTGATGAATTCATCTAAATGAATCAGTGAATCTGAATTAACGTTATTCAGTGTTGTCTAATCCAAACCTATAAGATCATTGCACTGAATTAAGATATCAGCTTTATGGCAACAAAAGAGTGTCATCAAAAAAAAACAACAAAGGGAAATAATGATCATCTCAAGTGAACTGAATCATTTTTATCGTCTGATTGTAGGTGAACAACACGATATTCAAGTGCATCAATATCACATCTGATTTTTGCAAATCCACAAGGGATTCATCATAAACAGACCAGGCAGATATAAAAAGATTTACATTAATAATCCCCCTACGTTTCAATTTACTTTATAATTTAAATAAAGCACAACATAATAGCTAAATGCACACTAAACCTTTTCAGCGCAACATCTTATATGAACATAAAATTATACTTTCTTCTAGAATACAAGTTCTGCTACTAAGCTGTGCCTTCATAAGCTAACTGGCTACCTTATATAGCATGTTGTCTTTAATGAAAAGCACAAAAAATAAGGCACTTAGTTGGTAAACCTGCACAAAATGAATAACTAGAGAAACGATAGGATTACTATAGATAGAGCCTGAATATCTTAATAACTGCTGTTAACAAAAAAAAAGTAATTTACCTTCCCAAGTAACATCGTAGAGCTCCGATATAGACGACATGTTTTCCTAGTCCCGCCCCCTGTGAGCTGATTGGTGGATGACAGTGACGTCTCAGTTAACGCCATGGGAAGGGTTAGTGAAGGGCAAAGGCAAAATCCAAGCAATATTTTTTGTTGAATTCATACAATAACAAAAAAAGGGAGATTTTATTTTTAAAAATCTGAATCTAGGTATATAATATTTTGCTAAAAAAATCACAAAGTTATTTATTAGACATGCAACTCAAGAGTTTTCAAACGTTTTAAGACGATGGACCGCTTCAACATCAATATATAGTATATACTGATCTTTGACTTACATCAGTGATTCCCCCAATATTTGGAGTTTTATGTATTGTATCAATCAATCAATACATAAAACTCCAAATATTGGGGGAATCACTGATGTAAGTCAAAGATCAGTGGCAATAAAATCATTTAAAAGTATTTAATTATATAAAGTTAAATAAGAATGATAAATAACTAATTATAACCATTTTATAATGTATTTTTCTCTTATTTTCTCAGTTTTATCAACTAAATATTGTGGATTTATAAAAGATAGGCTTTATCTTTGGAGTCAAGTATACCGAATTCATAAGGTTTAGTCTGTTTTATTACCATAGAAAGTCTTTGTAGCATTTCTAAAGGGTATTGTGCTTTTATATGCTGTGTCTATTTTCTCTCTCTCTCTCTCTCTCTCTGTGTGTGGTCTCTGTGGATCTGGCTCAGCGTGTGATTTACTCTGCTGTGTCTACCACACGGTGCATTCACCAAGTGGACTTAGCACATGCTTGTTTATAGTAGCACAACCTAAACTTGATGTCATTCCTATTTGTGGCTGCTTGTACATCGTCCAGTTTAACCAAGGTTTGTTTCCTAAAGGATACTGCTGGCACAGTGGTGTAAAAAGGGCACCTAGAAAATGTTTTTAAAAAGGTCTCCTGGATGGCAATCACTTGATATGTGGATAAGGCTTTTTGTTGGAAAGCTATAACAAACACATGAAAACAAGCCAGCACTAACTGTTGGGAAGTGTTGGGAAATAACTAAAAGGCAATGCTACTAAACTACTGTTCAAAAGAGGTAAGTACAGTAAGTTAATACTTTTAGTATTCAATTATTTCAGACGATTCATTTAAATGAACAGATTTACAAAAAAACGATTCACCAGTCCGAGTCCCTGAATATTAATTGGGGGTGTTTTTGTCATATTTGGTATACATTTGCCAGGTTATCAAGTTTGACACTGTCACCCTAATTGAGGTTGTTCATTCATTCAGAACCTCTCATTGTTTTTGAATGAGCAAACACATCTCTGTCTGACAGGACAGTGTGTTAAAGTCACATCGTGATGCATGGAAATAAATCTTTCTACCAAATTATGGCATACAATCAAGTGAAACATTATCAAAAAGAAAAAAAAAAGTAGAGTTCTTAGTACAATCCACTGCTGGTTGATCTTGAGACTTGCAGTTGATTGTAGGAATTAAGGGAGATTGGAGAATGAGAATGAAGTCACCAGAAAATCCAGTTATGACATTTTACGAAGGTCAAAAAAAGACAGAAACATATAACTGTTCACAATAAGATGAATAACATACATTTAGAAAATAGATTGGGTGAATTTCCATTTCATTCCAACTTTAAGGGCCCACTGCTGACCTGTGTGTCAAACCAGATCATGTAGAAGACACCTCATGTACACAGGTCCTACAAGCTCTTTACAGGCATCAGATTCATTTACAATTGGGTCTACAGGAAGTGAGGAAAAAGGTAGCACATACTTTGTGTTTACTTTGGAGCACTGCTTTTGCCAGAAGTGTCACCATAAGGATAGATCAATAGCAGCCATTTGAAAACAGCACGAAATTGTGCTGCTTAACTACTGCGTGCGTAGTTTTCCGTGCCTTTGGAGCACCACATGTGACATGAAGTAGACCTGTGTTTCCCCTCATATGCCTGCTCCCACAGAAAGAGGGCTTTCACTGAAATACTCTGTTCAGACATTTTATTTTGATTTCTGACAGAAGTAGTCAAGCCTACTGATCTCTGACACAAGCAGTTCTTAAGACGCAATTTGGAGCAATGGGTGAGGTGTTCTGCGGCTTTAAACAACCGCTGCACTTTTCCAGTCTTTTTTTTTTCAAGCAATATCTTCCAATTACAGAAAATGACGGCAGATGCCATTTACAACAGTATTTGCTTTGAAAGCAAATCTCGAGCCCAGTTTGACAGGATCGCTTTCAATCTTAGACAAATCTTAGACATGACTTTAACTGTGTGCCTGCTTTGACCTCTAGACCTAGTCGTTGTGGCAAATTGCAATTATTTAGTAACACATTTTCTTTATTTATCTCACTTTCTTTATTGGCTCTAGCACACACAACACTAACAAGTGCGTCACACACCTCTTGTTCCAGTGCCAAGAAAAATAGTCAATTCTCGACTGATCCTGTGACATAAAACCTGGTCTAAAAGTAGA